TTCCCCCGCCCCACTAAACTACAGCAGGCCCTTATCTTACTTACGTCAATGACTCTCTCGTGTTTACTAGACATATTCCACTCCACTATTTCAATCAATAAAAATTCTGTTTTTCAGTAATCTAAAAAGTATAATAACTCCTTGTGGAGCATGTCGTCAGGTCTTAAGAGAGGTAAGTAATTTCTTTACATCATTTCTTATAAATTCATTGAATATAAAAAAGTTGATTCACCTTTTGAATTTGTGCAATTGTCCTCATTGTGCACTTTTAGACGTAGTATGCTTTGATTAAAACTATAAGGAACAGAACAGTGGGATGTAAAACTCCATTTCATTTTATTAGTCCAATAAGGTACAGAACAGTAGGATATAAAACTCTAATTCATTTCATTAGTCCAATAAGATACAGAACAGTAGGATGTAAAACTCCATTTCATTTTATTAGTCCAATAAGGTACAGAACAGTAGGATATAAAACTACATTTCATTTCATTAGTCCAATAAGATACAGAGCAGTAGAATATAAAACTATATTTCATTTTATTAGTCCAATAAGATACAGAACAGTAGGATATAAAACTCTATTTCATTTCATTAGTCCAATAAGATACAGAACAGTAGGATATAAAACTAAATTTCATTTCATTAGTCCAATAAGATATAGAACAGTAGGATATAAAACTACATTTCATTTCATTAGTCCAATAAGATACAGAACAGTTGGAAATAAACAGTCTATTTCATTTCATTAGACCAATAAGATACAGAACAGTAGGATATAAAACTACATTTCATTTCATTAGTCCAATAAGATACAGGACAGTAGGATATAAAACTACATTTCATTTCATTAGTCCAATAAGATACAGGACAGTTGGAAATAAACAGTCTATTTCATTTCATTAGCTTATTAGGACGTCAACAAATGTCCATTTCATTTCATTGTTTTATTTTGATTCTATTTTAGTTTGGGAAGGATTGGTTAGTGTACATGACGAAGCCAGATTGTACCTACATTGTTAAAACTGTGGACGAACTCTTACCACTTGGTTTCGGTGGCGACGATTTAGACGAACACCAGCAGCAAGGGCAGTGAGGGTTCCCGAACTAGAATAGCAGCAACAAACGCCATGCCCTATTTTTGGGGGATGGGGTACTAGAAAAAAATAGTTATTTATTTTTATATATTTATCATTTTTGTATCTCAAACGCAAAATAGAAACCATCTCAGCATTGTGTCGATACTGATTATATAGTGCATTGGTCATTTTGCTTTTGGGTGTGGTTTTGTGAGTTCCAAACAATGTTCAGCTCTTTCCACAGCACATCTTATTAAGCCAGAAAAAGAAACTTATTACCAGCACAGAACGAAATTATGTTCATTATATATAAGAGAGATAGCTTACCTGTTGTGGGTGTCGCTAGCACAAGCCACGCCCTCCTTAGCCACACCCTCCTGTCATCAAGCACCTTCGTCAAAATCTATGTATTCCCTACAGCTCATATAATTACCTTGATCCTTTTTTTAAAGCTGCTAACAGATAAAGGGTGTCGCTAGCGAGGCAGGTGTAACAAATCCCAAAAATCTGTCAGGATGAAGGGAATTTTGTTATCAATTTATAAATATAAGGACCCGCCCAACATCAAACCTTAAATGCTACGAAATTGGAGAGATATCAAAACACGCAAATAAACAACAATACTTTTATTTGTAAAAATGCAATGCAATAAAACAAATCAAACAGGTATCTTCTCAGCTTCTCTAAATATCTATATTTAGTTTATTCTAATTTACACTTCTGGAATTAAATTATTAATTTGTTATTATATTATATATACTTAAATTGTATTATCTTAATCTTAATTTAGGATTAATAAGAGTTTTGTATCTTTACGTTACTTATTTTATATTATTATTGTTTCATAAAAAGTTATAATATTTCTCCAAGCCAATATTGGTATTTAATTATGGGCTCTTTATTTGATCTTGGAGAATGTTAATTTCTCCAACTTTAAGCTTAAGGTTTCTCTAATTTTAATCTTTCTCCAAATTTTAGATGGGAGATTTTC